AGAATGTTCTCTCATCGCCTGCTTTCTCCAAAATTAGCCGTAGTGCCTTAATTTGGTCATCAATAAACAAGTCCATCTTTGCCAATTCAACAACATTGTCAGGTCTTGGTTGTGATCCTTTCACAAAACTATTAGTTATAGTTTTCAATTGGTCAACAGACTCAGAATTCATCTCACCAAATGCTTTAGCCATTTTCTTTTGAATATCAGTATCTGCATTTCGTTTGCAATTTTGATTGCTTGAGCCAGCTCAGTTTTGTTGATTTGATCTTGGCAAATAGGCAAAATGATTTGGTTCAACCTCAAGTTCCTCATCATTGTCATTGACTACATGTAAAATGAGAATAATACAACAATAAGTAGAAGTATGCACATGACTAATGACAACAGAATACCATCCCACTTGCATGAACCAATTCCCTAATGAATGCATACTTTTATTGGTGGGAATTTAAGGTCTTTAAAGTCTAATTTATTATTTAGTTAATGAAAATTTAATTTCATAGGGAAATGGAGTAATTTAGTGGGAAGATAAAAGGGCCCGTGCCTTTTTTACAGCATTCACCTCTTTGGAAAACAATCACTTTCTTTATTAGATTGAACAACCCAACCTCTTCCTCCTCTGCTTCTGACCTAATTTCAAAACTCCCTTATTGTTCTATGTTTCCATGGCTCTCTCTTTTCATCTCTTTCTCTCTTTTCATGGCTCCCTTTATTGCTCTCCCATCACCCTATTAAGTTGATGACTGGAACAACCAATCAAGTTTGGGCAGCAAGGTCGCTAAGGTATTGTTCTAATCCATGAGTTTTGGTTCGCTAAATGTACGTTCCAGAATGCTAACGTACCACAATTCGGTACATGTGATCCCAACAGGGTGAAAAAGTGAAAAACACCAAACAAAAAGCAAAACATGGACAAATAAATAATTCTACAATGCAATTACATTCCTTTGCAGTCACTTTATTTGCTAAAGATTCCCACAATGTCGAATTACTATATCACATACAAACAATTAAACATACGACTAAAAAAACGTCAAAAAGGAAAAACTCGTAACATATTTCCACAAAAAATTTAATAAAAGAGGAAATATATAAAGAAAGAGAAGATGAAGATAGAAGAAGAGAGAAGAAGCATATTTGGGGGAGAGACAGAGAGATGGATATGTGGAGAAGAATGAAGAAAATAACATGTGGAAAATATAGCAGAGAAGAACCCTAGGGAGAAAAAGATGAAAATAACGTCTGATTTTTCACGTGAACGTGTGTGTTCTTTTTCCCTATCTGTATAATTAAGCGTGTATTATCTAAACGGAGGTGTGTTGGTTGTATTAGTTAGTCAGGTAAGGAGAGTATTAAAAGCCTAACCCGTTTAAAATAGTGAGGTAATTAAATAATACAAGTTGACACCAAACAATTGACATGGACTATTTACTCCTATCTAGAGTCTAATACGGTATACCAAACATGCCCTTAGGGTTTTAAGCATAACACTCCTTTTTATCTCCATCCACCTCCACTTATTCTTTCTCTCTCTATTTTTCTCCCATCGTTTCTTCTTCTTCTTCTTATTCTCATCTTCTCTTCCTAACTACGTTGCTGCACATTTGCATTTAGTTTTTCTCCCAACAGTCACTTCCTCATGTTCTCCTCTTCTTCTCCTCTTAATTAGGGTCGTGACAGAATGGTATCAGAGATTGGACCCAAACTGGAAGTGTGCCAACAATAATGTTGGGCCCTAAGGGCGGTGAATTGTAAGACCTGTAAGAACTGTGAGCCCTGAAGGATGCAAGGTGAGAATGGGTGAGATGAGTGAGAAATCTTATATCACTCGAGGAGGGAAAGGTGAAGTGCCATATATGTGGGTACTTGATTTCTTAGTGTAGGGGACTTTTTCCTCCAGCAGCTGCAAATGGGCTGGGCTACTGTAAAAGGGCAGACTGATGAAATAATCCCATTTGCCTGAGTTCGAAAATTAGGCCCCAAAATACCTCGAAAGGGCAGTAGAGCCTTAGGAAGTATTTCAGTTATCTTCACCAACCAAAATTAATGACAGCTTACAGGTTATTTCTTCATGCTTACAGATAAACTCTCAAGCTCAGCGTGAGTGGCATGTGGCATGGGACCAAAATCAACATGAGTTTGGCACTAAGAGAAAATTTAGGCTTGCTTTGAGGGAAAAGGAAGTGTTAGGGTAAGAATGAGAAGTTTTGTAAGAGATTTGGCTAGGAAAGGGAAAATGAATAGCAGAGTTCTTCCGGCAGTTGCCAGAAGAGCAAAACGGAGAAGAAGATGAACAGTGCACGAGATTGCTGGGTTTTTGTAAGTTAGAGAGAAAGCTTGCTCTCTGGGTCTGAGTTGTGGCTAATGGTGAAGTGTTTGGTGGTTTGGGTAAGTTTCCAACAGCCTGACAAAAGCTATGTCAGACTCTAGAATGGCATGGAAGAATGGAAAGTGGGAGGAGATGGAGGATTAGGGCACGAAATTGCAGAGATTTCATGGTGAGAGATGAAGCTTGCTCTCTAGATGTGGGTTGCTTTTGTTGGGTGGAAGAGGCCTCAATTTATAGCCGCTGGAAGCTGACATTTTCCAAGAAACCCTAATGGTTTCCATCCCATTTTGTCAAGTCTTTCCCTTCCTTTCTCCCTTCATCCCTTCAATCATCCTTTTTTGGTGAAATCCACTCTACCCATTTGCACAAAATCAGGAATTTTGGGTGCTCAAGGCCCCTTTTCCCGCGGTTGTTTCAGACTTCTATTTTCAGCCATTGTTTTTTCTTCTTTTCTTCCTTCTTCCAAGGCTAGGTCTGATGAGGGAAAGAAATAGGTATGCATGCTGGTTCAAATGGTGATCTGCGCTCCAATATCCCTTGGTCATTTGGAAGTTTTTGCTTGAAACTTGTTCCTCCCGTGTGTTGGAGCTTTCCAGCAGCTTTCACACATCGATATTTTGGCTTTCAACGTGGCTTTTGTTTTCAGCTAGGTGCTGAAGATTTGCAGATATTTTTTTGGGTTGCTTGGGCATTCTATGACAATAAGTTGGTTTATCAAGTACATGGGCTAACTTCATCAAGTATTGGGCTAGTTTGGTTGAAGTGATGGGCTATTTTGGTTGGAGTAATGGGCTATTTTGGTTGGGCCTAAGAAATGGGCTTGGGTTCCGAGGCTCCCAAGCAACCCAGAACCTCCATTTCTCGACCCATCAATGGGTCTCATGACAACTTATTACCATCCATACCACAACCCACTCAAGCAAGCCCCAGGCATCTTGCGTGGCTTGGGCCCACTTAAGCTTGTAGCGTGGCATGTTGCTTATTTGCTTGGCGTGGCATGTGTGCAAAGCGTATATGACGAACTTTAGCGTGCCTAAATCGGGTTTCTTCTTGATAAGATATCGCATTGGGCCGATAATTTATTTGGGCCGAAGCGTGGATTTTTTGGGCCTAAACACTTAGCAAGATGTCTTTTGGGAAAGATGACATAAGCTTGAGCCTATCAACAAAACCGTGAGGGTCCATGCCCAAAACAATCAGTATCTTGCTAATAAAACTGGGTTGTGACAATGCAAAACAAAGAAAACATGAGATAAATAGCTTTAAAGAAAGTTTATATATAAACTAAGGTAGCCAAATGATCTGAAACCAATAGGCTTTCCGTAATGTCAAGTTAAGATGATGTAAACATGACGTGTACTCATCAACTGAACTTGGCAAAAGAAGCTGAAAAATTGCAATCTAGAGGAAGCTGTAGTTTACTGAAAACTCATACTCAATATATATTTCGTCAATTATCTCAACTGAAAAATAGAGTCAACATGCTCCTCAATATCTAACTCGGAAACATACTAAAAGCCGCACAAAACTCATACTCAAGGAATGAGCTTACCAACCTCACATGTACATAGTCAAGCAGGTTGGGGAATCGGGGATGAGCTGTCCAATCACACAAGTCAGGGATAAAGTCTCTGAGCTAGTTCGTCATACATGCGTAGACGACCCCCAAAGGGTTAGGCATCCTAAGACCATCTCCAACCATGTTAGAGCTAAACTCAAATTTCCACCCTCCAAAATACAACTATTCATGTATTTTAAGGACTCAAAATTTATTTTCCTCTAACCTTGCAGATTTATAATTTGAATCCGCAACTTTATTAAATTGTTTAAGAATGAATAACCCTTAATTTTTTTTTCTTGACATTATTTTTGTTTCAATACTCGTGATTTAATTTTCTAAACATTTTAACATAAAAAAATTAAAATTCCAAAACATAATAGAATTTCACTTAAAAATAAAAACAAGTACAACACCATACGTATGCCTGGAATAATTCGAACCCTTCATTGAAGCCATTGCCATAATTTTCTTCCATTTTTACTTTTACTTTTACTTCATTGGATTCCTTTATTTTTCTATGATTACTTTTTCCCACCTCCACTTGTGTTCTTCAATTATTTTCTGAACTGTTTCCCATCCCCTATTGTCTTGTTTCAATCATGTTCTGAACCATTGCTCAACTTTGTCCATCTCACTTTATTGGATTCCCTTATATTTCTCCATCTTTTCCTATCTTCATTCAATTATTTTCTGAACCATTTCCCATCTTGTCTTGTTTCAATCACGTTCTGAACCATTGCTCATCTTTGTTCATCTCACTTTATTGGATTCCCTTATATTTCTCCATCTTTTCCTATCTTCATTCAATTATTTTCAAACATGGAGGTCATCTCATTCTCTTGTCAATTTAAGAAGTGTTATTCTATTGAATTGATCACACAATCTCCTTTAATTCTCCTTCTTACAATGAATTCACATGGGAAGGCTATACAAAATTTCTTCAATGATGATTCTGATGATGATGACCTTCATCAACAGAGAGTTGCAATGGTTGTTCAACACCATACGTTTTTGCTAGAGTAATATGCTCAACAATCCAAACATGGTGGTTTTGTTGCAGGCCGTAAATACAATAATTGGAAGAGGGAAAAACATCATAAGAGTCTCATGGACGACTACTTATGTGAAAGACCACTTTATCCCCCAGTTGACCTTTGCAAGTGGTTCGACATGAGAATAGAGCTTTTCTATCGCATCTTGAATGATGTTGTTGCACATAAGCTCGCCATACTTTACCCAGAAGATAGACGTTTTTCGAATGCTCGCATATGGATGCTCGGTAGACTCCACTGACGAGTACTGTAGACTGGGTGAATCTACAGCCCTTGAATGTTTGCGAAAGTTTTGTTCTGTTATTGAAGCCGTGTATGGTCAGTGGTACCTCCGTTCCCTAAATTCGGCTGATCTTTACATGCTCTTGCACAAGGCTAGTCGCAGAGGATTCCCAGGCATGTTAGGTAGTCTTGATTGCATGCATTAGGAATTGAAGAACTGCCCCACTGCTTGGGCAAGCCAGTTTACCTGCTACAAGCATAAGCCAATTGTCGTTCTAGAAGCAGTGGCCTCGTATGACACTTGGATATGGCATGCCTTTTTGGGCATTGCCGGATCAAACAACGATATAATCTGGGTTATTATTTGGCTGATGGTATCTACACCCCGTTGGGCTACATTGGTTAAGACGATTTCCCGACGGGATACTCCAAAACAAAGACTATTTGCCCAAAAACAAGAGGCTTATAGGAAGGATGTCGAAAGAGCCTTAGGAATACTTCAGGCTCAATGGGCAATTGTTAGGGGACCTGCACATATGTGGCGCAAAGAACAACTTCATTCAATCATGATGACGTGCATAATATTGCACAACATGATTGTTGAGGATGAGTATGAGGATCTAGATGCAGAATCTGATGATGAAGACAATTGTCCACGAACATCTAGAAGAGCAAGAGCAAGACTTGCTTATGAGCTTGAGCCAACTATCACCTACGATATAAACCGAGACAGACAAACTATCTCAAACTACATGGTCCGTCATAATAGAGTTCGTGCTTCACAAGTGCATCACAATCTAAGAAATGATTTGATCAACCACATTTGGAGATGCGAAGGAGAGGGGCCATGAGCTATGTTGTGTGTTTAAATTATGTAAGTGTGTTTAAATTATGTTGTGTGTTTAAATTATGTAAGTGTGTTTAAATTATGTTGTGTGTTTAAATTATGTAAGTGTGTTTAAATTATGTAAATGTGTTTAAATTATCTAAGTGTGTTTAAATTATGAAAGTGTGTTTAAATTATAAAAGTGGTTTTGTGATTTTAACGAATTATATGGTTTATCATTGAATTTTAAAAAAAAAATCATAGAAAAATAAACGACAATAATAAATAAATAAAAAGATAAACGATAATTATAAATAAAGATAAACAACAATTACAAATAAAGATAAACGATAATTAAAAATAAAACTAAACAGCAATTAGAAATAAAGATAAATGACAATTATAAATAAAGATAAACAACAATTACAAATAAACGTAAATTAATAACCACTATGTGGTGGGCTTGGATAATAGTCTCCAGAGTTGTCTTCTGGATTGTAGGGGGAACTTGCATTCATCTGGGCTTCAATAATTTCGTCTTGCTTATTCCCCCAATACTTCTTCTTTCTTGGAGTAAATTTGGATAGGTCCATGGACATTATCCTCTGTTCATTGGCCTCCTTATCTTGTTGGATTTGATATGAATGTTGCTCTTGTAGGAGCTCTAACTTTCGCCGCCTATCCTCTTTTGCTTCATTTCTTTGTTGAACCAATTCAGACAAGAACTTACCACTTTGGTTAAGATAACTTTCAACACCTTTCCCTTTTTTTTTTTTTTTTCATCCTTCTGTTTATCTCTTCCCAATTGCCTTGAAGTGGGCATGACCACATCATCTTCATCTTCCTCCAAATTGACTGTATTGCCACTATGAGAAGAATCATTGAATGATTGTGTAGGAGATTCACACAGGTCGTTCCATTTTGGGCAATCTTTTAAGATTTGTCAAGCATGATACAACTTGAAAGGCCTATTTGGAGGTTTATTATCATTCAAAAAAATTATTTTTGCATTTATATCCTACCCATGAAATAAAATAAAAATCAAGTTAATAATTGAAAACAATTAAAATTATAAATTTAAGCATTGGAAAAAATGGGTACTCACCACATCTTCAAGATTGGAGTCACTCACATGCCTTGCATTGACCTTTATTATACATGTCTTCCAAAGAGAACATTGTTGGTTGATGATCTTGAACCGAGAAGCAATAGCTTGCGGTGATCGTACCCGGCTCTGCTCATGCCCGGATCATTTTCCAAAAAAATTTGGTACACACGCAACCAAAAATGAATTATTTGATTGATTCGTGCCAATAGCCCTATCTTCATAAACAGAAACCCACCCTCTACACAATGCATCATCTTCTTGTGGTTTCTAATTCACACCTCTTTGGGGTTTTGGGGCCATTCTCAACAAGAATGAATGTAGAATGAAAAATTATAACAAAGTGAGAAAGGAAAAAAATGATTTTTTGTGGATTATTTACCAAATGAATGGCTATTTATAGAGTTTAGAATAAGTTTTGGGGTTGGATCTGACTTAGATTAATTATAAATATTAATTTGACCGTTGGATGTGAAATTTTACCGTTGAGATTGCCTAAAATGAATCAGAATCGTTGATTTTATAACTGTTGGAATTTTTTTTTATTTAAAAAAAACAGCATAACAAAACATTTGAAAAAGTAGCCGTTGCTTCTCAAAAACAGAAAGGGAATCTTCATTCCCACTTGTCAAAATGGGCCAGCGACATAGCCAAGCACATGGTCTGCTCCTTGCATCCAATAAAAATTATATATTAAAGCAGATTTGGGCCCCACGAGTTTATCAGTCCAGACAGAATTCTGACTGAAATTCCATTCTAGTTTTGAGTCATCTCAAATTTTCACCTCCCAAAATACATGGGTTGGAGAAGTTTTTTGGAGGCTAAACTCAAAATTTGAGTTTCCACCCCTTAAGTTGGAGATGGTCTAACACATCGCCCATAGACCTAAATGTAACTCATTGTAGCTGTAACTAGGTGTTTGAGCCTAAATAAATCCACCCAAAAGAGCAAGAGATCATAGTGGGTTGATAAGAGCAACTCCACCCATTTGCCCTTAGCCATGACAAGGGGGGGGCTAGGGCAGCCACCAAACACCCTAATAGAAGGTGCGCTCGCCAAATCCAGAATTTGGGTTTCTCACCACTCA